TGTAAATGAGTTTGATACTTTGGATTTGACATTATGTGTTTCCAGCATCATTTATAATCAACAGAGACTCCAAAAGTTTCCTTCAAACTTTTGCTTCATTTATTCTCATTTTAGTCTCTATATTAATAACATAATCTGCATAATCAAATTATTACCTGTTTTACACATATTCACAACCCATTTATTTATTAATGTCATTTCTCTTGCAACTAAAAGGCCTGGAACCAAAAAGTATACTGTAATATGTTAATTATTAAAAACTCAGCCAAAGAAACCAAATTACAGAAATTTGCTTTTATAACTAAAATAAACAGGAAAAAGCAACATTAACATAACTGGCAGCTCAATCCTACAAACTTCAGAAGATAACAACTTGTGTTTCACATTTCATAACACATTTTAATATTCCTTTAGTGTAATATAAAATATTGTTTACATATCAGACAACAAATGCAATATCATTTCAAGATAATTTTTAACAAGTGTAGAATAAATATGTTTAAGTAGTCAAAGGTTGTCTTCTGTCATGATGTGAGTCAGAATAAAGTGTTGTTTTTGTAGAAATTGAAGAATGACCCCTGATGCTGGAAGGTGCAATTAAACCTCAAAAAAAGACTTATCATGTTCTTCAATATTATCTTATAGTTTTTATTATGTTCACAGGTGCAGCTCCAGAGCCGTATGTCAAAACACTTAAAACAGATGATGGGATGGTCCTGCAGTGTGCTGTTCGAGGTGCTTCTCCACAACCTAAAGTAGAGTGGAAGGACAGTGCTGGAAACATCCTTCCTGCTAAAGAACCACAGGTCACAGAAAGAGGAGGAAGCTACAACGTCATCCTACAAGCTCCTTTAACCAAGACCGACAACTTCACCTGTGTAGTCACACAGAAGGAAATCAACCATCAGATTTCTGCTGACATATATGCTCTTAATGGTGAGATTCTTCCAAGTTCTATTTTTATATTCAAATAATTTTTGTAAATGTTCTTCAGACTGAACGCAAAGAAAAATGTGATGAAGACGTCTACACAAGTTGAACATTTTTTAAACTGGCTGTTAAATTCACTCTTATTCTGAGACTCCACTTCATTAATATACAGAGATAAGAGGAAGAATGAGAGGGTCTGGAGGGAAATAACAGAAAGAACTCACACACACACCCACACACCCACACACACACACACACACACACACACACACACACACACACACACACAGAGCCGACCCACCACCAAGAAGCACATAATGATTTTAATGTGGACTTCACTGGACAGCAGTCAGTGGAGGAAGAACAACTCACATTATTAACTTCAGTAAAAGTAGTGAAACCACAGAGTAAAAATACTCTGTTACAAGTTTTTAGCAGCGTTTGGTTGGTAGCTGCTGCTAATTTCCCACCCTGTTATGTTCATGTTGTTGTTGTGTTTCAGAGAAACTGTGCTCATTGAGAAGTGCAGCATGAAACTTTTAGTACTGAAACATTTGAGCTCTGTCTCCTGAAGCAGAACTTCTGCTGCCTTTTGGAGGTTTGCAGGTTGCAAATCAACAGTCACATTACATTTTTACCAACAAGCTTTTTGATGACGAGAGGCTGATGAGATGAAATACTCGCTCTTCAGATGTGTCACTGAATGGATGTTCCAACACTAAAGCTATTTTTCAGTGACATAAAAACCCTCTTGTGATTCCCAGCTCTTGTCACTGCCACTTGTTCACTGGCGTGCACAGACTGAAGGTCAGCCCCAACTCTGAGCCTCCTTTCTCTATAGTTTGTGGCTACTTTCCAGTTGAGATGGCAGCGTGCACAAAACGAGGCCTGTAGTGCAGCTCCACAGGCTGCCTGTACTGCCTGTTTGAAATCTCTTGCACCGGCTGTTTGTGAGTTCACACCTGGACAACTTCAATGTACATATATGTGATTATTGAACAAAGATTAGTGCAGCACCAAACTACAATGAGTTCCAGCACACACACTGATTGTTACAGTTGAGCCTGTTGGTGTAAATATGAGCTCATACTAACTACTAGGTGTGACTGTGGTTGAACTGATTGAACCAAGTGATAAAACTAGTTTGCTACATGAACACAATATATGAGCTGCTGAGTGAGTAGAAGAGCTCATAGAAAATAATCTGACTCTGAGTGACAATGACAACATGAACCATCAAACATCATCACAGCTTTGAACTCACTCTGACTAAATATACATTACTTTACTACTTTAAGGACAGTTCCTTTATATTTGACACAATAATCAGATATTGCTGAAAGGAGAAGTTAGGCAGCAGATTTCTCTCTGAATGAATCCACATTGTTTTTGTCAAGTCTGTTTTATTGAGGAAGGATTCCAAAATGTAGGACATGAGAGTGCAGTGTACATTTTCATTGAAGAGAAGCAAAGCTAATATAACAGATAGTATCAACATCACTTAACTGAACAACATATACTCTGAACTCACCCTCCCTCCCCTCCCCTCCCTTCTGCTCAGGAAGTACTGTACAACAATAAAGGTTGCAGTGGAAAGATAGTAAAAGAACAAGCGATTGAAATTGTATTGGCCAGTAAAGTACACAGGGAGTGTACATTATTGGTTGTTTCTCAGGTAGCAGACAAAGGGCAGCCAGATGTGATCAAACTGTGACTGTCTGTTCTTCAGAGAGAACCTTATTTTGTCAAGGTGAAGGGTGTTGGTCATTTCATTGAGCCACAGCTTCTGAATGAATCCATATTAAACATTCCTGAATACATCTAGACAGACAGAAACAGAGCAACACCTACTAAAGCTTTACAGAGGATTTGAGTCTGAGATGAGTATCAGCAAAATGTACGTAAAAAAAGCAAAAGTATAATAAAAAAGTATTATATTTTATATGTTGATCATGTGTTTGTATGTTAGATCAAATTAAATAACTACATCAGTCTGATAAATGTAAAGAGTTCAATATTTCCCTCTGAAATGTAGTGAAGTAGAAGTATAAAGTAGTATAAAGTGAAAATACTCAAGTAAAGTACAAGTAGCTCAAACTTGTAGTGAAGCCCAGTCCTTGAGTCCTCGTCCCCGTCTGTCTCTAAATGTTTGTTAATCTGAGTTATAGTCAGTGAGTCAAACCTGTCGCCAAAACCTGAATTTGAGATCTGAGCAGCACGACAATGTTGAGCAGAAATTTCTCACTGATCCAATTTCTGAAACGAGGTGTGTTTGATTTTAAAAAGCCTGTGTTTCATATTTCAGAAGAGTTTTTATATTAGTTGAGTGCAATAAAAAGTACTGTATGAATCTCAGGGAAAGGTTTGGACAGGCCTCATGTTTGTCTCATTATTGTTGGAACAGTTCACCTCTCGTCTCATTCGGGGCTGATTTGGTCAATGTGAAATATTTGATCAGAATTGAATTAGTATGGATTGTAGAGTGATTGATCCATTCAAATGATAAAAGATAACAAAGCTGTAGTTTTAAAGATCAAATAATGAGAATGCTCTCCTTCCTTTGGAGACAATGTGCTGCGTTCACACTGCAGGTAAAAGTGGCCCAATCAGATAGTTTTGCTCATATGTGACTCAATCACATGAATGTGATCTTTTAAACTCTGATTTGGGACAGCTACGTTCACACTGCAAGCCTTAGTGCTCAATTCTGATTCATTGCTCACATCACATTCTTTGTTTTGTTTGGCTGTTCACATTATGTTTAAGATGTGGCCCATATCAGATTCCAGTGTGGACAGGTCCCGGTCCTGAAGTAAACCGCGTGACCAACGTGGATCTAGAGTGACGTAAAAGTCACATGAATTTGAATATGACTGTTGAATGAAAGTGGCCCAAATCAGAATGTAAAAGATCAGATTCAGTGTGATTGGTGCTGTTCACACTGTTCTAAAACAATCAGATCTGAGTTCCATTAATGATCCAATCAATCAGATTTGGGCCACTTGTGTCTGCAGTGTGAACCAGGGTTGGAGTTCTGTGGGAGCCAGTGGGAGTGGAGCTCCCATAAGAAGGGGTCTGAGCTCCCATGAAAGCAGTAAAACCCTCCGTCTGTGGGGGGGGTCACTAATACATTACCAACAAGCATTATTTGAATGCATTTTTCACTGTAATGAGGATTCTATCTCTCTGTACTGACTGCTTGCTTTCTATTGGATTTACCACTGGCACAACCCGATGCATCCTCCCACTAGTGGAGTGCTACATAGGATAGGGTACTGTGCACCCGCGCTCAGCACTGTGTAAATATTAACACCTACTTTCATATGATACCAAAAAGGGTGGAAATGTGTTCTCCCTTTGAGTGACGGCTCTCTGTTGGCACATTTCAGTCTGTTCATACTTTGTTGCAACATCGTAGGAAAGTTTCAGGTTGTTGGAATCTACTTGATACAATTGTTGTAATTAGTGTGTGTGTGTGTGTGTGTGTGTGTGTGTGTGTGTGTGTGTGTGTGTGTGTGTGTGTGTGTGTGTTTGTGGTCCAGATCAGATTCAGCTCTGATGTTTTGCAGTGTGACCTCAGTGTGAACAGTCGTATCAGAAGTCATGTGACTTTAACGTCACTCTAGATCCACATTCATCATGCTGCTCACTTCAGGACCGGGACCTGTTCACACTGGAATCTGATATTCAAACAATAACGTGAGCAGCCAAACAAAAAGAATCCGATGTGAGCAATAAATCCGAATTGAGCTCTAAGTGTTGCAGTGTGAACGTACTCCAGTGAAATCTTTCATCAGCTGCTGTTGGCTACAAAAGAACAATTGAAACCAATTGAATGATGAGTTTTCTGTTCTGGCAGCATGAGACTGTTGATCAAATACACTCAGTGGCCCATTTATTAGCTCCACCTGTACAATCTATTAAGTAGATTAGATTCAACTTTCACATCACATTGTCATTGCACAGAGTGATTTAAGTCAGAAATACTGTGTTTCACAAATTTTTGGTAGGAAGTTAGAAATGTTGACGTATTATTTTCTTCACTATTAACTTATAGTTTATGTTCACAGGTGCAGCTCCAGAGCCTTCTGTCAAAGTAGTTAAAACAAAGGACGGGGAGCTGCTGCAGTGTGTTGTTCGAGGTGTTTCTCCACAACCTAAAGTAGAGTGGAAGGACAGTGCTGGAAACATCCTTCCTGCTAAAGAACCACAGGTCACAGAAAGAGGAGGAAGCTACGACGTCATCCTACAAGCTCCTTTGACCAAGACCGACCACTTCACCTGTGTAGTTACACAGGAGGACATCAACCATCAGATTTCTGCTGACACATATGCTCGTAATGGTGAGACAGACAGATAGATAGATAGATAGACTTTGCTTTGAGTGTCAGTTTTTACTGCACAATGGAAACTTGTCATTAGTAGCATTGTGTTGCAGTGAGGGTCCCAGATGACAAACATGTTGGTAGAAATGTAGCTTCATTGACTGCAGCAACCAATCACAGCTGATGTATGATTGAAGGCTTTATCATTGAATCTATGACATTAATGACATTAACTCTCTGTCATCTGTTTCAGACTCCACTGGATTGGTTGTTGGTGTGTTCGTTCCCATTATTCTTTTGGTTGTTGGTTTTGTTCTAGTTCAAACTGAGTTGTAAGAGAGGTAAGTTTAAATAATGTCTTTTCATCAACATAGTCATAATGAGTAGATAACACAACACATTCTTGATATATATCTCATGTTTAGAGTCTTAACAGTTGTTCATTCTGTTGATATTTACTGTCTATTTACCAATATTATCAGACTGCTTGTAGTTGTTAAAGGTCCTAACTGAGCTACACATGGCCATTAAAAGCCTTCACTGAACTAAAGCTGCTCTTACTGGAAATGAATGGGAATGTTTTGCAGCTAAAGTGAAATATAATGTGACTTTGTGTTTTATTGACATATTTGTGTTATTGACATTATTTGGGACAACCCTGTATTGTTTGTTTATTTGTTAAGGTGAGTCAGAGTGTGTCAGGTACAGTTCCACACTGAACTCCACACTCAGTGTCCAGTTTATTAGGTCCACCTAGCTAAAGCTAATGCAGGCTAATACAACAGTCCTGCATAATAAAGTGTTGCTGACTGATGTTTGAATTGTCTCAAAGTTCATGTATGTTTCTGTTGTTTGCTGATGATGCATTTGGAAGCTATCATGTAATCTCAGGCAGTGCTTCATCATTTCTATACAAACGTTTGAATAAAAGCTGAAAAATGTCAAACTGTGTGTTGGGACTGTTTTTGATGTTTCTGTGTGTTCAGACTGTTTGAGGTAGAATCTAATCAGAGAGGGCTGCTGCATATAGGGACAGCAACTATCAGACAGCACCACAATGAGGGGAGAGACAGGCAGCACATTGCACACAAAAGGACCTTTATTTTGACAGGAACTTCCTCTTTAAAGATCCAGTGTGTAGGATTTAGTGACATCTAGTGGTGAGATTGCAGACTGCAACCAAAGCACCTCACACTCCCCTTCCAAACGTGTAGAGAAAGTGCTGCTAACTGAATGTACTTCAGAGCTTTGTCATTGTGTGTGCTCTGTACATACAGCAGCAGTTCCATCCATCCTGGAAGAGAGATCCCTCTGTCGCTCTTTCTAAGCTTTCTCCCTCATTTTAAATTCAACTTTAAATCAGTGACAGTGATTCTTTCTAAGGATAGAGGGGTGCTGCGTGTTGCACAGATACAAAGATATTAGCAATGAAGCTGACTAAAGTTTGTGTAGTTCATGAACATTAAAGAGCACAGCTGCAGCAGACGGACACAGCTTGGTGGAATTGAACCTGTGACCTTCCAGTAAGCTTCTCCAGCCACCAACCTGCCAACTTCCCTGAGTCATGAATCCACGACACAGCAGTTTATTAATCAGGACAGTGTGTTTGTGAACAACAAAGCTTTGTGATTTTGTCTTTATATAATAATATATTAATAATGTATCATTTGTGCAGTGATGCTATGATCAGACACTGGATCAATAAAAATGGCTGTAGTCTCTGTGACGTCACCCAGAGGTTTCTGAAGAGCCGTTGTGAAGCTCAGTGGTCGGCTCTAACCGTCACCATCTTGGCAGCCCTGACTCTGCTGAATGTAGCCTGGTCACTGAACGCCACCTGTAACGGCCTTTAATTATGTGTAACTTTAAGTCTTTATATAATTTAAAGGAGTGAGCTGTATAAACATTCACTCCTCGTCAGTGGCGGCTGGTGAAAAATATTCTCGGTGGGGCTGTGCCACACTTTTTTGTTTCTGTAACCATCGCATTACAATTTAACACAAACTGCAGAACACCAGTGCTCAGTGAAATAGTCAGTAGGGCTGGGTATCATTTAAAAATGTATCAGTACCGATACCAGTACCGATACCAGTACCGATACCAGTACCCTTAACACGATACCGATACCAATTGAGTACTTCATTCCATACTTTTTTTCAACTTTGTAAAGTCACCACTCCTCCCCATTCAAAAGATTTTTACACAAATACATTTTGAAAGTGCTCAAATATTTATTTAATAACTGTACAAACATGTGTGTATATATATATATATATTACATATTACCTGAAGTTATCGGTTGCTCTGTGTTAGGGTGGCCATTTCCTTCCCATCAGAAAGGAGGACACTTTACATACACAGGGACACACAGCAGATATTTGTTTGGTATGATCTGGTTTTAAATTTTAATGTTTTTCCAGCAGATTCCATAAAGGTGCATACACATACCACATAGCTAATAATAAATATACAAGATACAGCTCATGACAACGTGCCCTTCCAATTCAGATTACATAGGTCTAATAAACATCATACAGAAACTGTTCTTAATGGTTTATCTGGATAAATAAAGGGTAAACAAATACAGCACCTTCTGTTTCAGATGTATAGACTTTACCTATCTACATCTGAGTGTGAGCATTTTCAGAATTTCAGTCCAACAACCGACATTAACTCACATTATGTTCTCTGTAGCTGAGAGTTTGATTGACAGCCTGGTGGTAACCTAGCAACTGCGAGTGAGCGCACATGGCTCATTTGAATATTTAAATGAGCCATGTGTTGATAGGTCACGGTTGATCTCGGATGCTGACCAGCCAACTCCAGCACAGACTGAGCTGCAAGCTTTACCGCCATCCAAAGCGAAACCATAGAAACAGTCATTGTTCTCTTGATCTGGGTACAAAAAGAACCGATTGCAGGTATCGACAGGCGCAGTTTGGATCCTGTGTTGTTTCGGTCGATATCTTACCTGTAGATTATATTTTGGATGCTGGCGTACACAGTCTGACTTTAGTTTCCGGTAAGAAAAACTGCAGCTACTCCAGAGAATTACGTTTTCCTTCTTTATTAATTCCTCACACGAACAACGTACAGGATGTGTCTTGTTGTTGTTTCCTGAATTATACAAATAAATAAACAGCAAATATATTATTATGTTAACGAAATAAAGCAATATGACTGTGAACTAAACAGATACACAGTACAACGCAGTAAAATAACCTGAGGTCGGAATGACACTCAGACCGCATCATCACATGAATTCCCTTATATATATATATATATATATATATATATATATATAAGGGAATTCAAACATATTAACCGGACTCTGGTAATATATCTAATGTACAAAAACAATGTGTGTGTCTGTACTTTTACAACATTGCGGCTAACAATAAACAATAAACTAACAATAAACAATAAACTAACAATAAACAATAAACTAACAATAAACAATAAACTAACAATAAACAATAAACTAACAATAAACAGTGAATATAAACTGACTCTGCACTCACGCACAGCGGACACAAGTTCTTTGGCTCTGCTCAACGCTGTCGTAACAGAGAAGGAGGTGTGCAGCACTCGACAGGTCGGGACGGTTCTGACGTTCCTTCGGGACAACTCGGGTCCTTCCGGTTGCGATCGGCTCTTCCTGTACACAGCAGAGCAGGGAAGTTTGCCCATTACCATTATTACACAAAAACATAAACATCATATTGCACAAGCCTTTCATTTGCATTGTAAACTGAACTGAACTGACTGTTTCCAGTCCAACAGCTGGTTCTGTATGTCTTTGACTGCCCTCAGCTGGGAGCTGTGTTCAGGTGCTCCTCCAGCACACTGTCAATGGAGGCAACTAAATCCACCAAGCCCGGGAAACTGCGGGGTTGTCCGAGGAGTCCGAGTCAGTCTCGTCATGCCCACGCAAGGCCAACTCAAAAGTCCCACAAAACTTCACACAGTCGCTAATTCTGGATAAACTGTGTCTGTTTTTATCCACCTCCTCATGATGTTTCCTCATCAATCCTGTGGTCGTCATCCAGCTGCGTACTGATGTTCACCCTTCCTAATATGGCTAGCTTTACAGAGTTATCCATGTGTGCCCTGGTGTTCTTGTGTTTCTTTACCTTCTCTGACAGGTGCTTCCTATCCCTCACTCCGGTAACTGTCCATGCTGGATCTGTCCCCGTCCTTTTAAAAAGCATGAGTGCACCCAGCTAGCCAAGCCTTCCCGGTGTACCGGCTACGGGAGAAGCCGCCGCCATATACTGCTTCCCTTTCTCTCTAGCCTGCTGTCTGATTGAGAGCTCAGGTTGATCTGGGCCCAGCTCTTTCACCCCAACTTTCTCCAACAAAGTTCTCCTCTCAAACGGATCTTGGAGGAGAGATTTCACCGAGTTAGGGTGGGGTCTTGGAGGAGTATCGTTCGCGCCCTAGAGCCCGGTCCTTATTTTATCAGAGGCGAACTTGGGGCGATAAAATAATCTCCCTTCTTGGTTTCGATTTAAGGACGCTGATTGGCTGAATTTTCTGTCATGCATTCATATCTTAAATTAGCAATTGGCTTAACTGCTACATAGACCCGCTTTCTCTATCGGCCAGAGCTGATGAGGCTTCAGACAGGCAGAGGATATTTTACACATATTACTGGCTGCATTCCATATTTCAAACACACAAATATTGACATACTGATATTTTTATCATTATCATTATTATTGTTATTTTTTATTTATTTTTATTCTCAAGGGGGCGGCGCCCTCTATTGGCCAGCCGCCACTGCTCCTCATACAGTTGTCAGAAACAGAGAATGTACCTATAGAGACCAGTTTGAACCAGGCTGTAAACGTGTATTTCATTTTAATATGGGGCCTTATGGAGACTGACTCACTGTTGGAGCCAGCCTCTGGTGGTCGTTCAAGGAACTGCAGTTTTTCCTCTTTGGTGTTATTTCTCAGCCATGGAAAATGCCAGTTGGCTACGATGTGTTTGTTGTATTTAAGTCTTTATTGTGTCAGCAGAGGGTGTTTTCTCACAGTGACAGTCTGTGAGGGGATAAAATGTTCCACACCAGCTGTTTCTTTGATTGGAAAATCTACAGAGCCAATCAGAAACTTCTAAGAACGAGACGTCATCTTCCTGTGCCACAGGTAACAATGATGAGTTCAAGGCACCTGAGCAAGAAAACGTTTATATATATATATTTGTATGCATTATGCCTTTATTACAACAACTATTATTAATGTTTTATTCATTGTTAATGCTGGAGCGTTCACTGTTAATGCAAACCAAACATTTCCTGTTGCTGTTCCTTCACATTAAAAGTATTCCATTTCCAAAACACCTTTTAGCTTTTATTATGAAGGAGCCACAGGAAATGCCACTTGCTGTTATGTGTGTGTGTGTGTGTGTGTGTGTGTTATTTCTGAGCTTCTGCACCTGAAGTAAGTCCTTTCTCAGGTGAGAGCCACAAAGTGAAGAGCTCCTGTGCAGCAGGTGTGGAGACTGCAGACGGCCGCCTCACACACTTTGTTGCTGTGTGTTTTAGTTTTAGTGTCTTTATTTCCACTGTTATTTGTATAATTGACTTTATATACTGGAGGGTTTTTGTTTCTAGTGCTGCAGCTGCTGGTGGCCTCCAGTCACAGTGTGGTTGGAGTTCTGGGAGTTCACTCACTTCTGATGGCGGCACGTTTTCATTAGTGTGCTGTTTTATTTGAATTGGTAGAATTTCAGAGGTGGGTGGTTGGCTTCCCAGCTGTGGACTGACTGTCTCTGCCCCTGTGTGTCAGTTCTCTGTTACATTACGGACAGATGGACGGACGGATGGATGGATGGATGGATGGATGGACGGATGGATGGATGGTTATTCAGGCACAGAAACAGTGAATATATATAATTATATATATAAAAACATATGATAAAGGTTATTGATAGTTGAAC